GAATGCTTCACCGGAGGTGCGGAACGGAGCACGGTTGTGGAGCTTCGCAGGTATGAAAATGGCGGATTTCAAAGAGAAAAGTTTTGAGAATACAAGAATGAGAAGTGAGAAAACAATGAGAGAGAAAGAGAAAGAGTTTTGTTAAAAACTAAAAATGCGGCAAAATGTAATGAAAGTACCTGGGGCAATGTGCTTGTCAGTGGACATGGGCAGAAGCAACACAATTTGATAGCGTGTGTCAAGTACGAACTAATGGGGAAGGGACACGCGGACGAAACGGTTGGAAAGATTGTGCGTTACAACTTATGCGTAGTTAGAACTCTTAAAATTCTTGAAATAATGGGCAATAACCTCGGAGAAAATTCTTAGAAAAACTTGGTACATGATACCACATCCTTGGTAAAGTGAACAGTTGAGTCCTGGTTATATAAAGCTGACGAGTCATGATCTCGGTTAAAAAGAGGAATAAAATTGTTAGCTGACATGTAACGTAGGGTAGACAAACGATGTAGGTTCCATCACTTCAAATTGCCGAGGTAATAGAACCTAGGGGCAGTTGTGGGGACATATCTTGTGATTAACAGCACGTGGCTAAGATGACGCCGAAGTGTCAGCCGAGGTGCTACGTAGCCTGATCATGCTGCCGGGATGATCTCGGCTAGGCCGGGGTTATCTACAGACATACCGGAATTCGAGATAAGTAGATAAGGGACAAGAATCCTAGAACAGATGAGGATCTCAATTTGGATAAAGATAAGGCTCAAGAAGAGTTTATCTCTATCTAGATGAGGGGCCAGGATGAGTATTAAACTTGAGTCCATTGAAATAAGGCTTTTAAAGGGATCAGGTCACTGCTGGTTATAAAAGTAAGGCACCCCCGTGGGTTGAAGGTAAGTTCTTTCTTGTGAGTTTAAGCACTATTCGCTATCTGTGAGAGATATTGTTTAGTAACTTGATCATCGGAGTGCCCTTGGGTAGACGAACCACCGCGGTATTCTCGTCTTCTTGTTACAGGTTGTTGAGCTTAATCTATTCTATCGGTGTTCTCCAGCTGAGTTTTCCGTTTGGTTGTGTGGTCAAAAATCAACACTCACAATTATTAATGTCAAATTAAGTGTTTATTTTACTATATTATAATTTAGTATCATATAAAATAATTATATATTTATTTCAGTTATAGTTTTATAACACGATAGGGCTAACATTATTAAAATGCACATAAATAATTGAAATAAAATTATTATATATATTTGTTTAAATAACATTTTTATAGAACAATAAGGTCAAGATTATCAAAATAAATAATTAGAATAATTTTTTAATTTTAAATGACTTTTTTATTTCAATTTAATCATTATTTTAATATTAAAATGAATATTTATTTTATTATATTGAAATAAAGTACAAAATTATCATATATCTATATATATATATATATATATCTATTTAAAATATTTTGAACAAATTCATTAGAATGAAAATTGCATTGCATATTTCGTAATATATTTTTTAAATAGTTCTATACATAGATATATACATAAATAATTCAACTAAAATTATTATATATTTATTTATGTTATATTTTATATCATGATAAAATCAATATTTTTCTTTTGTAATGCACACATTGCAATATATTTCTAAAAATAATTTTTATGTAGACATATATAAATAATTTAATTTAATTTTATAAAATATTTTTTTTTAAAAGAAAAAAACATTAATCCATGCATCGCACAAGTCAACTACTAGTTTGTCATTATTAGACAATATTTGAGTTGATATATTGAAGAATAACGGGATCATTATGGCTAATATTTAAAAGTTTGCTATAAATTGTAACTAGCATTACCTTTTATTAAAAGGGAACTCACGCTGAAAATCTAATTTTAAAACTTTTAAAACAATCATCTCAAATTGTATTATCTTCGAACTATAAGGATAATAATAATTAAAAAAAGTATATTACCCTTGCATATTTGTCTATGGCCATCATCGATTGTTGCCAAAATCTGGCTCTCTAGCTAATTTTTTTGGCAATTGTGAATTTTTCAGTGAGTCTCCAGTGACTCACCGACAATAGACCATTGTCAATTGGTGATTGACAATAATATGTGAGAGTGTACTAATAAAAAAGTAAAAATGAAAAAAAAAAAGTATCATTCAAAATAATGATTTTTATTTCTCATCAATATATTTTATTAACTATCCCATTAAAATAAAAACAGAGCAATTATTTTGGACTTAATATCATATATATATATATATATATATATTTTTGATCGGCAAAGAAAATATTTATTGATGAAAGCAATCAAAAAAGATAGACTACATCAATAAAGAGGAGCTTGGAGCTAACACAAAACTCTAAGCGCCAGTTGGTGAGAAACCAACAAAAAGAGAACAAAAGAAGCAGAAGAAAAAAACACAAACCAGAAAGAAAACAACTAAAAAACAGCACACCATCAATAAAGAAAAAAAAAACTAATAAACGCACAAACTAATAAACAACTAATATCATATATGATACACCACCATCAATAGTTCCTAATTAAAAATAAAAGAACACAATCAAAACTAAGAGTCTTATTTGTCTATAAAATTTCATTCATATTATAGCGATTCTGGTTTAGACTCGACCCATTTGATAATCTGGATCTGAGTTTCATTGTTTTATATGGTTGTTCATGTTTTATTTCTCTTTATTCCTCATTGAGTTTGGTTATTGGAGTGTTTTGGTTGCATTTGGAATAGGTTAATAGCTTGTTTTTTAAACTTCTTGTTGCTCAGAATTTTGCCTCTTCGCTCGAGCGGTCTTTATAAACTTCTAGTACTTTTGCAGGTCTACAGAGATACTGGGAGATGGCATTCTTCGCTCAAGCATTCTTTCTTACGCTCGAGCGGTGTTGGCTCGAGCAGTCTACCTTACGCTCGAGCGATGGTCATTTGTCTGTAAAACTTCTGAGAATTGGTATTCTTCGCTCGAGCGGTCACGCTTATTGTGTCTGGTCGCTTGAGCGACACTTCTTGTGTTCATGCAGTCTGTGCGTTTATCAGTCCATAAAGTCACCTTTTTTGCTCACTTTTTCATCCCTCTCTTTCTCTAATCATTTTAAAACCCTAAGGTAAGACCCTCTCTCTCTAAAACTCGCATTCTCTCTACAAATACACCTAAATCCGTTGATTTTTTCACCTTAATTCTTTTGATAAAAAGGTAAAGTTCATCTAAAGCTTGGTTCTAATCGGAAAAAAGTTGGATTTCGGCCTCGTTGTGGTTTCTCCTTTCTCTCTCTTGTATTCTAAACTTGAGGTAGGGATATCTTTGTACTTTCTTATGATTTTTAACTTAGTTATTCGTGTTTTTGAAACAACATGTGATTTGGAGATTTTTTGACAAACTTAGGGTTTTGGGTTGAACTCAAAAAGAGGAATTTTCAAAAGAATTGTTGGAAATAATTGAGAAAATGTATTTATTATGGAGTTATGATGAAAAGATGAATTTTTATCCTTGGGATTGAGTTATAAAGAAAAATGGGATTTTTGCCCTAAATTTATCAAATGTTGGTTCTATATAGATAAATGGAATTGATGTTAGATTTGTGAACTTGAATTAAAGTTGTTGAGGATTGTTGTGTTGAATATGAATTATCACTCACATCTTGAGATTTTGGAAAGTATAACCTTATTGGAAATTTATTTATTTGTTTAGAGATATCTGTTTCAGGCTATCGGTGGATGATAGCTATAATTGTTGTAAAAATTACATAAGAACTAGGAGAATTGAAACTATTTTCTCATCCATTTGTATTGGGCATTGATACATATTTAACACATTGAAAATGTCTATTGCTTTGAGAAAAATTGGTGAATACCTTGGTGAATCTGGATAGAGGGTGTGGTTACGGTGTTATGTTAACCTTTGTGTCCTTGGTGAAAGTTCAGAAACCCGCGTGGTTAGGTGTCGAGCTTTCCGGTTAATATCAGTAAAAATGAAAAATTAGTAATGCTTGTATAACCTGCTTGTAGGCATGTATCTAGGGATTCCCAAAGTTGTATTCACAGTCCTGTTTTCTATTATAAAGCAAATGATTTCTTGAATTGTGTTATAGACTTTGAATTACATGGTTTTGAAAGGAGATATAAAATGTTTTTGACATGAGTATTGCATATGCATTCACCTTTTATCTTTATTAAGATTCATAAACTGTGTTAGAGTATTTCTATTAGATTTTGGCTCACCATATATAAGAAAAACATTTTCAAGTACTGATGATATGTCTCCGCTAAGGATATAGCTTGGGAGGAACTTGGAATTGAAAGCTTCTTTTTTTGTTAATTGTTTTATTTAATTTGTACAATCCTAGGGCTTTAATGGTATTGGATTTAAATCCTTTTTTTTTTAACCAAGTATTATCTTGGAAAATTTTAGCCATTAGGGTATTATCTTATTTGTTTACTTTTCAATTCATTTATCTATTAAGTGACATATGCTATAAATTTAGGATTAGGCTTGTAAATGTATATCTGCATATGTTATTCTTTTGGACAAGTAATTAGAATTAATAGGAAAAATTATATATATATATATATATATTGTTGTTATTTATTAATATTATGAATGATTTATTATAATTATTTGGAGACATTACTGGGGATAGATTCTCATTAAGTAGAAAGCATATGTGGTTTTAACATGCGGATTCCAATTCTGTTCTATAAACTGATGCCCATTTAACATTGTCTCCTCATGAAAAGAAAAAACAATTATTCTTTTAAAGAAAATAAAAAAAATCCATAGCTGCTAGCTAGCCTCCAAAAATCTTTTTGATTTCCATAATACACACTTTTTTTCATTCCCTTCACAAACCACCCTCCTCATTCTTTGCCTTTTTAAAGCCTCATCCCCATCTTCTTCATTAGTTCATACCCATCCCTCAAAACACTTTCAGGTAGGCTCAACTCTCTCTCTCTCCCTCTCTCTCTCTCTCTCTCCCTCTCTCTCTCTCACACACACACACACAATGAGCATGATTCTTTTTATTGTGTTGTGGGTTTTTTTGCAAGATTGGATTATACATCTGATAATTTCATTTTCTTGATTTTCTTGAAATGAAAATGACCTAATATGATGATGATGTTGTGGATGTTTGTTTGTTTGTTTACATGTGTAGTAGAAGAAGAGAGTGAGAGATGAAAATGGGTGGGAGTGAGAAGAGTAAAGGAAATAAAAAGTTTCAGAAAAGCTACTTTGATGTGCTTGGATTGTGCTGTTCTTCAGAGGTTTCATTGATAGAGAAGATTCTCAAGCCTCTAGAGGGAGTCAAGGATGTCTCAGTCATTGTTCCATCAAAAACTGTCATTGTTGTCCATGACAACCTCCTAATCTCTGAACTTCATATTGGTATTATTATTAACCCAATACCTTCTTTTTTTAAAAAAAAAATTTATTGGCAAAAAAAAATATTATAAAAATATATATTAGAATATATGAAGGAAAACAAAAACAAACATCGATTAGCAAGAAAAATCCAATAACTTACTCGCCTATAAAACTAGTTAGCAAGATACTAATCAGCGAAAACGAAACTTTTAGTACAATTTAAATTTAAACTTCTAAAAAACATTCACATTCTTTCACCTAAAACACATTTAATTCATTTAAAAAGTTTTTGCTCTTAGTCCATTAGTAAGAAAAATCCAATAACTTACTCGCCTATAAAACTAGTTAGCAAGATACTAATCAGCGAAAACGAAACTTTTAGTACAATTTAAATTTAAACTTCTAAAAAACATTCACATTCTTTCACCTAAAACACATTTAATTCATTTAAAAAGTTTTTGCTCTTAGATTTCTTCTCTTCTTGTTTCTTCGTTTGCTTCTTCGAATTTTCTTCGTTTAAAATCTCTCTCTCTAAAGAATAATGAATGTCTCAGTTGATCGTGAACTATATTTTTGTTTTTCCATCTTTTTTTTTTCTTTATATGGCTACAACAAACCATTTCTTTTTATTTATTTATGTATTAACATAATGTTCTTAATAATATTAGGTGCAACAAAAACAAAAACAAAAAAAAAAGAGAGAAAATGCATATACTGTGGTTGAGATTTATTTCTTTTAAGTATGACTCTGAACGAATTTCAATGATACAATACATTTTGTATGTAATTTTCTATTTTTTTTATGTGCGTTTAGCATTTTTATAATGTTCTTCCTTTTGTCTTTTTCCTTTTCTTTTCTTTTCTTTCTTTTTTTTTTCTTTTTTTTATAAAGATTTCACCAAGGTTGATGATCTTGCCACTCACGTGCCACACATGACCCATTGCAAATATTGGTTATGATATATTAAAGAATCTTTAATACCTATTATTTTATAATATTTTATTTGTGTCCTAATTTTTTAGTTTCATCTTATCTGTCACAATTGTATTGGTTTAATCGTCTCACCAATCATCTTCTATACCAATGCATTAGTGACAGTTGTATAACAAATAAAATGTAATAAAATAATTTTACAATCACAACATTATTGAGACCAAAATTATATATGACACACTATTCGTGCTTCCACAAACGTAAAGTTAGAAAAAAGTTGGGCTCATTTCATGACTAGTGGGCGTTAGTTTGCTTTAGTGATTATAATATATTACCCATTTTTATATGTATATATTATTTTTATAATATTTTATTTGTGTCATAATTTTTTAGTTTCATCTTATCTGTCACAATTGTATTGGTTTAATCGTCTCACCAATCATCTTCTATACCAATGCATTAGTGACAGCTATGTTACATGGACTCGGGTACGGGTGTCGGGTGCGGGTATGTATCTAGAGGTCGGACTCATCAAATCATAAATTTAAGGATACGCGGACTCGGCAAAAAAATGTCATATTTTTATATTTTTAATCTAATATGTGAGATAAAATAGTATTATATTTAACTTATAGTGTCAAAATGACATTTATAGCAATTATATAACAATATATACATATAATAATAGTGTTATATACAATTATATATGAAGTATCCGTTGAAAAGTATCCAACACATATCCCATACCCTTGTCCGAGTGTCGGGTGTCCGACACGCGTATTTGATTTAATTTGAAGAGTCCATGTAACATAAAGTGACAGTTGTATAACAAATAAAATGTAATAAAATAATTTTACAATCACAACATTATTGAGACCAAAATTATATATGACACACTATTCGTGCTTCCACAAACGTAAAGTTAGAAAAAAGTTGGGCTCATTTCATGACTAGTGGGCGTTAGTTTGCTTTAGTGATTATAATATATTACCCATTTTTATATGTATATATATTATTTGGAACATAATAGTAATTATTTGCTTTTATTATTTTATAATGATTATTTCTAAAAATAAACTAACTATAAGTTTCGGTTGGCAATTATATATAATAATGACATATTACGATTTTTTTTTATTTTTTTGTGATTGGTGACTTATAATTACATAATTGACTCCACAATTTTTTTGACATATGATTATTTGGCTGAAAATGCAATAAAACAAGAAAATATGAAATATTTTAAAGAGAGGATCGCAAGCTCGAAATAAGTGCTTCAATATCTCACCAAATACCAAAATTTCACAATATTCATTTAACGTACTGTGAAAGTTCGACATGAGTTTAAAATGATCCACAAACATAATTTTTATTACAAAAATTTTCAATCACATTGATATAATTGTGAGATTTTTGAAAATTATGAGACAATAATAATTTTTTTTTAAAAATTATGTTGCTATATCACTTACCAATTTAATTGATATAGCAAAACAACGCTGCTGCAGACCTCTAATTAGAGGTGCAGCCGTACAGCTCTAGTGAGCTGTCAAGTAATAAAAAAAAAAAAAAAAAAACGGTGAAGTAAAAGACAAAAGAAAGGGAAGAAAAAGACAAATTAGAGCTCCATTAGTGGTCTTTTTTTAGAGGTCTGAATCATTTTTCTATAGCAAAATCACATGGCACTGACCTCCTCACTAGAGCCTCTTTGAGTAATATTAAAAATCTCAAAAGTTTTATTAAAATTTTATCAAATGTCTCACATAGGTGTGGGGTCCACATAGAAGTCACATGATATAAGTCTCACACTCATGTAAAATATTTAGTAAAAGTTTTGATAAAACTTTTAGAATCTTTAACATTTTTGTTTTTCTTTTCCTTGTTTTTTTTTAAAAGAAGTGGTTCAATTTTTTACGAGTATTAGTTAAGGAAATGCTTTCATGATAAGGAAGAATTGTTAGGTTAAGAAAAGGTGGAGGAGGATTTTATTATATTTGGGAACCTGCAAACCAACTCATTAGGCTTTTGAGTTGAGATTTTTTAACAACAATGATAGAGGTCATTAATTTTGGAACTCTAAAATTACCACTAATGACATGGCATTCAATAATAAAAAAAAAAAAATACAACACCAAGGCCAAAATATTAAATCATTCATGGTGGGGCTTACTGACACATCATTAGTAGTAGCACTAATTAGTTCTCCCACTCATTTTCCATTTTTTAAATGATTTTTTTCTTTTTTTTTTTAAGAAATTCAAGAAATCTTATACTTTTGTGTTCTACTTGATTACACATTCTCGAAAACTATAAAAAATAATAATAATAAATAAATAAATAAATTTAAATTAAAAGTATTGAAAGAACAAAAGAAAAGCCAAAAAAAATAATTTTTTTAGCTTCTTTTTTTGTCTTTAGTGAATTTTTTTTAAAAAAAATTAAATATCTTTTAAATTTGTCTACACAAGGTGGACCTAAAAAGTTTTTAAAAAAAATTAACATAATTTTAAAAAAAATCAGTAAAGACAAAATTTGAAACAAGAAAAAAATGACTTTTTTATAAGGTGATTCCATATAAGCCATTAGCTTTTCTTGCAATAATAATTCTGAATAAAGAAACATATCTAAATTATCTCTTGACAGTGATTGAAAATCACAAACTACTTTTTTATGTTGTTGATCAAAGTGCCCTTGGCTCTACCTTTTATTATTATCTTGTTTCCTTTATCTTTTGAGAAAAGCGTCTAACCAAGGTCAAGTTTGACATAATTTAAATAAATTATTTTTTTATTTTTTTATTTTTTTCATCATATCATCTCTCTACTTTTCTGCATATCTTTTTATAAAAAAATAAAAAGTACACCTATTTAAGTCATCTCAAATAACCCCTAATTAATTGATTATGTTGATTATAACTTTTTCTTTGTGGGCCTTTATAGAAAATTTTGAGAAAATTACAAACGCATCACTTAAAATTTGTTTAAAATACATATTATTCTCAATATTTTTAAAAATTATATCATACCCCTTCAACTTTTTAATTGCTTAACAAATGACTAATTTTATTAATAAATTAGTAAGTCAATTAACAAATTTTAATAATATCACAAATATATTTCAATTAGTAATTCTGATAGTTTTATTGTTATATAAAAGAGTAGTTAGAAATCTCAATCTTTCTATAATAAATAAAAAAATTCTGACAATGGGATATTTGTAATTTTTAAAACTATAAAACAAAATCTATATTTTAATAAAGCCTCAGGGGATGTAATTGTAATTTACCTTAGAATATAATTTTTAGAGTAAAATCCAAATACACTCGTTGATGTTCGCATAAAATACAGATTACCTTCTATAGTTTTGAAAATTACAAATATTTCTTTATCATGATTTTTTTTTTATTTAACAGAGTTAACAAAAAAATAAAATTTATAACTACTCTCTTATACAACAATAAAATTATCATAATTCTTAATTAAAATATATTTCTGACATAATTAAAAGTTGTTAATTGGATTGATGATTTATTAATAAAAGAGGTCATTTGTTATACAATTAGAAACTTAAAAGGTGAAATGTAATTTTTAAAACTATAGGAAACAATTTATATTTTAAAAAAATCTCAAAAAGTGTAATTGTAATTTATCCATGAATATATAATTTTTATTCAGTTCTATTTATTTATTTGTTTTATTGCAGCTAAGGCATTAAATCAAGCAAGACTAGAAGCAAACGTGAGAGTTTATGGAAAGACAAATTATCAGAAAAAATGGCCAAGCCCATATGCAATGGCTTGTGGTGTATTGCTTTTGTTATCCTTTCTAAAGTACTTCTGTCGGCCCTTTCAATGGCTGGCTGTTGGTGCTGTCGTTATTGGTATTTGTCCTATTTTTCTGAAAGGACTTGCTGCCATCCGGAATTTCACACTTGACACTAACATTTTAGCCCTTATTGCAGGTAATTTTTACACTTGTTCACTTCATTTTTACTAGCAATTTTTTATGGTATCAACTTTTAATTTTTTTTAAATAACATTAAACTAGTTTTTTATTTTATATTATGATGAAACCCAATCGATTACTATAATAATTATAACGATGATTAAAAGTAATACGTTATAAATATTAAGAAATTTCAAAAGTGTGATAGAAAAACTCTAAACAAGCATATATGAAATAAGATTCACACACAAGCAAAGAATTCGAATCACCAAGGACTTAATGAAATGCATGAGTTATGGCCAATGGGCTAGCCCTATTGGTGACGATGGATTGAGAGGATGGCTAGTAGGGACGTCTGCCACCCTGATTTTAGAAATGACTATGTAAATACAATGATTTGGATCAAAGGGATTATGTCAAAGAGGGTAAGAAAACATGTTTAGAAAGGATTTAGCGAATTTTGTGCTAGCGATCAATCGGCACTAAGAGTGATTGATCGTTTCATCAATTGTTGCTGAAAGACAACCCTGGCGATTGATCACCTAACGATCGCTAGCTACTGAAAGTTTCAATGACATCTAAGCCTTCATACTAAAATTAAGCCCTCTACATCAGCAATCAATCCCTTCAATAGAGGGATCTATAGTTTCGAGATTGATCCCTAAGTAGAGGAGATCAATTGCCTCTTTCTGGTTTAGCGCTCTCCCTAGGGGATCGATGGCAACTTTCCTAAATCTGAAAAACTTAGGTTTTATTAAAAGGAGATTTTACACCCAAAAAAAAAAATTAAAATTAAAATTATTAAAAAAAAAAAAGTCATTTTGAAGAACCATTGAAAAGAATTTTTTGCCTTTCTAATATCAATCAAAATCATGGACATCTTATGGAAACTAATATGCTAGCATGAGTATAAGGGTAACATAATGAAGCTTGATGATGATCACTACAAGAAAAATCACCTTTGGCGCCTAAAAAAGTCTATTTTTAATAGCCAAAAGTCGACTTTTTAGTTTCCCTGACTAAAATTTTTAGTCGTCGCTTTTGTCGCAAATACATGGTCGCCGGAGGTATTGGCGACTATAACTTTTTTAGTCGGCAAAAAATAGGTCTTAAGCGACCAAAGTTTTAGTCGCCAATAGTGATTTACACTTTTGAAAATCATACATTTAGCGATTAATCCTTTAGTCGCCAATACTCACTGAATCGCCGACTAAACCGTTTAGTCGCCAAAGGTGCTTCCGTGAAAAGAAAAAAAATTACCAATTTTTTTACTTTTTCTGAGATTCGAACCACCAACCTGTCCCACATTCTAAACCTTTAACAACACACTCCCTCCACTATGCCACTACAACACCACATGAATATATATGCAATATATATTATTTGTATAGTATATTGACCCGTATTAATATAAAACTATATATATAAATATAATTATTTTTATTCAATATAATTTATATAAAAAATAAATTATTTACTAAAAAAAATTGAGGGCACTTTTGGCGACTAAATTTCTGTAATTTTGGGCTACTAATTATTTTTTAGTCACTAAAAAAATAAGTTCCGCCTAAAAATAAACAGTTTTGGCGACTAAACCTGTTTTTGTCGCCAAAAACATCCCCTTTTGGCTACTAAACTGAATTTTAGTTGCCAATTGGCTGTTTTTAGCTACTAAATTTTTTTTAGTAGCCAACAAGCTTCACTTTCAGCGACCAAACTGTTTTTAGTCGCCAAAACACATATAATCGGCAACCAAATTGTTTTTTAGTCGCCAAAACCTATACTTTTGGCTACTAAATTATTTTAGTCACCAAAAATCGTCACTTTTGGCTACTAAAAAATCTTTAGTCGGTAAAACCCATATAATCGGCGACTAAATTGATTTTTAGTCACCAATAACTATACATTTGGCTACTAAATTTTAATTCCATTTTAGTCGCCGAAAATGGCACTTTCAGTGACGAAAATAATTTTTTTAGTTACCATTTCTGCATTTTCTTGTAGTGGATGGAATGAGCTGATTGAGTTAAGTTAACCAACCTAACCAACTACCCAAATCCAAAGACAAAATTAATTCTACACGACATTACCATGTGATTTGTCACACAAAAATAACCAATTTACTATATTCTATCGCAAGTTATATTTCTTTTTAGGAATAATTCCAAGTATATTAACAATCTTACTAAAAATATAAGAGGCTAAATTTGATTGATTTTCGAAAAAAACAATATGTAAACATTTAATGATGTTTGAACATGTATACTTTTACTAAAATATTCATTTAACTAACAATTTCTCACATGTTTTATCTGATATTTTGTAGTCATGGGGTCCATTGCTCTACATGATTATTGGGAAGCTGGCTCAGTTGTCTTTCTATTCACTATTGCACAATGGCTTGAGTCAAGAGCAAGTCACAAGGTATGTTTAAAGAGAATATAATAGGGTAATACTATGAATTCAGATCACTTAGAGATTACTTAAAATTATCATTTTGTAATTTAGATTTATTCTAAATATAAATCTCATACTATACAAATTTAATTTTCACCATATAAACTCTCACCTAAAAAATTTTGAATGGTTAAGTGTGTGCCACAAACTTTTTCAAAAGAATAAGCTCTCTCTCTCTCGTGTTTGAGGCATGGTAAGCATACATGAAATTAACAATATGAAAAGTTGTTGTCCTTTGCTTTTTAAAGATTATTGAGTCCAAGTCTCATAGAACAAAATAGGGTAAATTATAAATACACTCCTGAGATTTACTTAAAGTACAGATTGTCTCCTATAATTTAAAAAATTACAAATACTCCCTTGTTAAAAAAAATTTATTTAACAGAATTAACAAAAAAAAAATCATAATTTTTCTTCTATACAATAATAAAATTACCTAAATTATTAATTGAAAAAAATTTATAACATTATTAAAAATTGTTAATATAAAAAAATTTATAACATTATTAAAATTGACGATTTGTTATGAAATTAAAAACCTCAGTGGGTAGAATATAATTTTTAGAACTACAGGTGGCGATTAGTATTAATCAAACCTTAGGGAGTGTATTTGAAATTTACCTAATTATTATTGCCTAGCATTAATTTTTAATGCTTATTAATGCTCAAAAGCCGGTATATGTAGAATTAACCAAAATCATTGTTGTTCACAAATTGATCTTCTTTCAAGTGCTTGTACAATCATACATTCGATTCAACACATACATTGTTGTTAAATTAACATTGCTTCTCAATTTCAATATATTATATATATAGGGAAACATTATGAGCATTGCTATTAATCCCTACATTTCTTCTTTGAACCCCCACCTAATTCATTTTTTTTTTTAATTCTAATTTTGTCCCAATTGAAAATTCCACTTTTACCCTCATTCCTAATATTCTAAACCTAATGTTCCAAATTCTAACCTAACCCTAATCACCTCCAGCAATACCACCATCTCTAACCATCCCTCATCACTGCAGCCTCCATCATCTCTGACCACTCCTCACCATCACAACCACCACTCTCTCCGTCACAATCAGCCATCACCTCCACCGACAAGCACCCCCATCTCCTATTGCAAATCTAAATTAGAGAAAAGAGATCAATCCATTCAGCACTATGTTATCGAACTAAAAGGATTTGTTCAGCACTGTCTTTCCGAACATTCAAGATTCGTTCAACACTGTGTTGTCGAACATTTAGGATTTGTTGAGCACTATGTTGCCGAACCCACTCCGCCATCGTGACCTCCCAATTCATTGTGAGAGAGAAAGAGCGAGAGAGAGAGAGAGAGATGAAAATAAGGTTTTCAAAAGAAAATGAAGAAGAAAAGAGAAAAAAGGGAGAAAGAATGCAAGAAATCACTCACCATAGCCTATGATAGAGGTTTTAATGGTGGCCATTGTTGATGAGTCTTTTCTTTTGCTCTGTTTCTCACTCATACTTGATTTGAAAGTAAGAAAACAAAGAAAACAAATATAGAATCCAAATTAAAGAGAGAAGTGGAAGGGGTTAGGGTTTGGTTTGGGTTTGGGTTTGGGTTTGGGGGCATAGTTAGGTATTATGGTGGGGGTTTAAAGAAAAAATATAAGGGTTTCATTTTGCTGAGTGGGGGTTTAAAGAAATGGGTAGGCCAAAGTAATTAGGTGGGGGTAAATATCAGCCCTCAAAATTATATCGATAGTTTTTGCATTTTGTTCCTTATGTCATTTTGACCTCTACACTTTCAATTGACTCAATTTTAACTTTTTATTTAAAATTTACACTATTACACTTATTAACAAAAAAATTGTCACTGAGTTGCTTATCTCACATAGTTGAGTAAGTTGATAATTTTTTTTGCTGAAAAGCATAGCACATGCCTGCTGTGTACTCATTTTTCATTAAAAGAAACCGCTAATGAATGTAATCAATGAAATCATGTTGAGATAAATTACACAGTCAAGATGAAAATCAAGGGAGTTGAAATTACAACGGTCGAAGTGACACAATGACCAAAGTAAAAAGATTACCGATATAATTTGTCATATTATAAACATTAATTACAGAGTAGTGGTATACAAATAGAAAGTTTGTACAAGATTATGCAGCTTATAGGAGTCCATCTATTTAACAACATAAGGGTTGTTATTATCAATATAATTTATTAATACTGTCACATCATTCTGAAAGCACACATTTTATCCACAAATTATGGTGAAATAACATTTTTCTTAATTATACATCGTTATGACAATAAGTTTAATATATATATATATATATATGTGTGTGTGTGTGTGCAGGCCAGTGCTGTGATGTCATCATTGATGAACATAGTCCCTCAAAAAGCTGTAATAGCTGAAACTGGGGAAGAAGTTGATGCTGACGGAGTTGAGGTGAATACAATCCTTGCTATTAAGGCTGGTGAAATTATACCCATTGATGGAATTGTTGTAGATGGGAAATGTGAAGTAGATGAGAAAACATTAACAGGTGAATCATTTCCTGTTTCCAAACAACATGAGTCTACTGTTTGGGCTGGTACTATCAATCTCAATGGTATGTAACACATTTCCTTAGTTCTTTCACTGTTTTATATGTGTATGTGTATATATAATTTTAGAGAAATTACGCTGATAGTCCTTATACATTATTTGTTTTGTTATTTTAATCCCTGTAATTTTAATTGGTCCGATTTTAACCATGTATTTTAGATTTTGTGTCAATGAGGTCTGATTGATGACCGCTGTTAGGTTTTTAGATAGAAAATATGCATGTGGATGGGCGACGGGGGCATGGAATAGGGAAAGGGAATGGGCAGGGAAGAGGACTGTTAAAAGGGAGTCTGAGAAGGAGGGAAGAGGGAGGACGAATGAGGAAGGTAGTCAGTGGTGTGGTGGAACGGATGAAAGGGAGGAGGATGTTAAAATATGTCTCACAACACCGGGAGTTGCCCTATCTGTACTGGTTATAAGACTCTAATTTCTCTCTCCTTAATATCTGAGTGATAAGGAAAAGTGTAGGCTGGGCTTTTCAATTTGGTATCAGAATTAGGTTAGATCTGTGATTGATGTGTTGTTTGTCCAGCTACTCTATGTTGTGGTCCAAGAAGACAAAGTATTTAATGAAGAGAATGTGTGATAACACATTTTGTTCCTTTTTCAGGTTATGTCAGTGTTAGGACTACAGCTTTAGCAGAAGAATGTGTGGTGGCTAGAATGGCAAAGCTAGTAGAAGAAGCTCAAAACAACAAATCCAAAACTCAAAGATTCATAGACAAATGTGCCAAGTTCTACACACCAGGTGAGCCAATTTGATTAAAAACTTGATTTAAAATGGATACTTTAGTATAGCATTTGTTTGATTGTTTGAATACCACAATGCTCCACTTACTTTCTTAACAAAAAATTGCATTTTTAAAGTTGGTGGAACATTACTTGCAACTTGCAAGTGTAGAAAGTCTCTGTTTGATTGAGTTCTCAAATTTTGTTTTTTTTTTAAAAAAAAAAAAAATTGGTGAAGAAATGTAAAAATCACAAAATCTAATTATTTTTAGATGATTCTCTTTTTGAGAGTTGAAATAATTTTTAAAAATTTAAAATTATATTTTTTATGTCTTTTTATGTTAAACAACTTTGTAATTTTCCAAAAACAACAGAGAACATTCAACCAAGTTTCTTATTTTTCTAAGAACTCTTTACTTTTTACTACAACCCATCTTCTACTTTCTAATTTGTTTTAAAAAAATAAAAAATAAAAAATAAATAAATTTATAGAAAATTAGTTATTAAAATTCAACCAAGTTCTTACTTTCCTAAGCACTCTTTGCTATAACCCATGTTTTATTTTTCTAATTTTTCAAAAAAACAAATCAAAAAACAAGTTAGGAAAATTCAACCAAGTTCTTATTTTCCTAAACACACTTTACTTTCTATTATAACCCATGTTCTACTTTCTGCTTTCTACTTTTCACTATAACTCATGTTCTACTTTATATATATATATATATATATTGGTAAATTACAAATACACCCCCTGAGATTTGTTTAAAATACAGATTGTCTCATGTAGTTTAAAAAATTACAAATACCCCTTTATTAGAATTTTTTATTTAACAGAATTAACTAAAAAAATGAAATTCATAATTTCTCTCCTATACAATAATAAAATTACCTAAATTATTAATTGAAACATATTTTTACAATAATAAAATTACCTAAATTATTAATTGAAACATATTTTTAACATCATTAAAAACTATTAATTGACTTGATGATTTATTAATAAAATGAATTATTTGTTGTGAAATTAGAAATCTTAGGGGGTGGAATGTAATTTTTAAAACTACAGGGGCGATTTGTATTTTAATAAAATCTCAAGGGGTGTATTTATAATTTATCTTTTTTTATATAAAAAAATCAGAAAATAAGTTCTGAAAATTCAACTTAGCTCTTATTTGAGAAATTATTCAATATTCCTAGAATATCACGTGTCCGTACTTCTTAACTAATCATTATTTAATATACCCTACCCCAATCACCTAACACAATACCCCACCTACCTACTTTTTCCACCAATCACAATGCTATAAAATACCGCGGTCTATACTAATTTCACCTTTTATTTTCGTAAGAACTCTTTACTTTTTACTATAACTCATGTTTCTACTTTCTAGTTTACTATAACTCATGTTTCTACTTTCTAGTTTATGATCATCTTTTGCTTCTTCTCTTTTACACGTTTCCTTCCGGAATGTGTGTTATGCAGCGGTTGTGGCTATATCAGCTGGTTTGGCAGTGGTTCCGGCCATTCTAAGGCTTCAAAATCAAAACGAGTGGTTTCACTTGGCATTGGTAGTTCTCGTTAGCGCATGTCCATGTGCACTTATACTCTCAACACCGGTTGCTACTTTTTGTGCCCTTTCGAAGGCTGCAACATCAGGACTTTTAATCAAAGGCGGAGAGTATCTTGAAACTCTCTCTAAAATAAAGATCATAACTTTCGACAAAACAGGGACGATAACAAGAGGAGAATTCCTAGTGACTAAATTTCAATCTGTGTCTGATGATGTTAGCCTAAACACACTTCTTTACTGGTAAGTGCATCTAATTTTTCTTTTTAATATAAGACAAATATCATAAAATTCTGATGGAAAATTTCAAAACACTTTTTACTCTTGATAATCCAAGAAAATATTTTGAAGGGTTTCAAGCATAGAGAGTAAGTCAAGTCATCCAATGGCAGCTGCACTTATCGACTATGGACGGTCCCATTCGGTTGAACCAATGTCTGAAAAAGTGGAAGAATTTGAAAATTTTCCAGGAGAAGGGATTCACGGGAAAATTGATGGGAAAGATGTGTATGTTGGAAATCTAAAAATGGCTTTGAGAGCAGGGTGTTCAACAGGTGAAAAAACCTACTACCTAAATCATCTTCTAAATCAAACCAATTTTTACTCTAGAAGTAACTGGTAATTTGATAATGGAACAAATTTATCTTCTAAGCTGCCAAACATATTTATCATTTCTTCTGCGGATAAAAAAACCACTTACCGTTCCTAAAATATGCGTTTCGTGTTATCAATTTTGTCCCTAAAGTTTTCAATTTGAATCATAATCGTACAAATCCAAATAGCCGTTAAAATCGTTATGGAATAATTGTAAATTTCAACTATGGTCCTTAAAGTATATATTTTGTTTCATTTTGGTCCCTAAAGTTTTGATTTTATCAATTTTGTCCCTCGTTCAAAGTTTATGTTTCATCTTTTCCATCAATGTTTGGGGACCAAACTAACAAAACTAAAAGCTTTAGGGGCGATAGGTGTATGTCATTATCATTCCGTTAACTATTTAGATGGTATGTTTGAAATTGGTCCAAATTGACTCAAATTAAAAATTTTAATGAATGAGAAAGGACCGAAATGATACCAAATGCATACTTTAAAGACTATAGATGTAATTTATTGTTTCTTCTTCTTCTTTTTCCTATTCAACCAACTCACTTAATCTTTTGAACTTTTCAGTTCCAAGGTTGGAAGGTGATACTGATGGAAAGTCCATTGGTTACATATTCTTGGGAGGAAGTCTTGCTGGAATTTTTAGTCTCTCAGATGTATGTAGAACTGGAGCTAAGGAAGCAATAAAGGAGCTCAAATCAATGGGCATCAAAACTGCTATGCTTACAGGAGATAGCCATGAGGCAGCTATAGTTGCACAAAATCAGGTGAATAATCATCCGTTTTTAACTTTGTAAGAAAGGTAAGGGATAGTATCAGACACGACACGGGACATCACTCCTCAGACACTTCTTAATATTTGGACACACATAAAACACATTACAAATTTAAATAAAATAATTTGAAATTCAATTATAAAACAAGAATAATGTATATTTGTTCTCCTTTAGATATTTTTAAAAAAAATTATTTTTGACGTACATATTTATATATATATATATATATATACTTGTGTTTGTGTATGCATACATATAACTTTTCATTATTGGGTTTCTGATTATGGAGATGATGGATTATATATATATATATATATATATGTGGAGTAAATAGAGATAATTACAAATCAAGATTGTTGACCAAAAGTATTTGCAAACAAATGGGGTACAACTATTTCTTCTATATATATATATAAAGGAGTTATTTACACCAAAGCCCCCTCAACTATTCACGAATATCACTTTACTCCTCTCTTCAATGAATTCATACATTTTGACCCCCTCAACTATAAAAATATATCACTTTCAACTCTTTCAGACTTCTTCTAGACCACCTAAAGAGGGATGTATTTATACAATTTTCATAATTGATAGTCAATATGTATAAGTTCATAACGAGGGGAGTACAGCGATATTCGCTAATAGTTAAGGAAGTTTTAGTGTAATTAACCCTTAAAAAACACAGCAAAAGTTTCACCCCACAAACATTCCCACATTTTTGTAAATATTTGCCCCACTTTCTATTTACTAGTAATTTTTCCTAATAATATATAAAATTATACATTTTACACATATCTGACATTTTTTTTGAAAATTTTCCGTGTGAACCTATCTTCTTAGCATACAACTTGCAAGTTTTTTGTTTTTCTTTTTTCTTTTTCCCCTTAAAAAGGTCCTATTAAAAAAATTTATTTTTATTTTTATCTGCAGCTAGAGGGTGCTTTGGAGGTAGTTCATTCAGAACTTCTTCCTCAAGACAAGTCAAGAATCATAAAACAATTTCAGAAAGAAGCTCCAACAGCAATGGTTGGTGATGGCCTCAACGATGCCCCTGCATTAGCTGCAGCTGATATCGGCATCTCAATGGGCATTTCAGGCTCTGCACTTGCAACGGAGACAGGCAATGTAATTCTCATGTCAAACGACATTCAAAAGATACCCAAAATCATCCGTCTTGCAAGAAGAACACGAAGAACAATAATCATGAATGTGATTTTATCGATTCTAACCAAAGCCGCTATACTTGCGTTGGCATTCGCGGGTCATCCTCTTGTTTGGGCTGCAGTGCTCGCTGATGTTGGGACGTGTTTGGCTGTCATCTTTAACAGCATGTTGCTTCTACGTGGTAGACAGAAGCACATAGTAACAAAAAAGTGTTGCAAATCTTCTCACAATAGAACTCAAACAACGTCCAAGCCTCCAAGTTGTTGTTCCCAGAAACATGCTCCGAGTCATCAGTCTGGTCCCTATAGTTCTTCAAACACGTGTGACAACAAAACGAGCTCAAACTCAACGAACGTACATGGCTGTTGCACACATCGAGATCAGGAAAAAGAGGCAAAGCACTCAGATCAAGAAAACCATTTGAGTCACAGTTCATTTGAAATTAGCCAAAACACGACCACAACTAATGGTCATTGTCACTTGAATCATTGCAACCATAACCATGTTGTGGAAAACCATGTTGTTGATACAGAACACGGCCATTTTGATTCAAACCATGGTGGAGACAATTGCTCGGACATTCATGCACCACCGATTGATATTTCAACGGGGAATGAACACATGGGATGTGAAGCTACTACTAAGACTTGTTTCAATTTGGAGAAGAGACAAATTGGAGGGTGTTGCAATAGTTTTAGGAAGGAATGTTGTTGTAAGAATGGACATTTTGGAGCTACTACTTTCGGAGGAGAATTAACAAAGATTATCATTGAGTAAAATGTACATGGAAATTTAGGACTTTGAAGGAGTTTTTAAGAACTTTATAACTCCATTGTTAATTTTCTCAAGAAAATAGGACATTTTGATGCAAATATATTAATGATATAGTCAACAAGAACTGTACCCAATTAGTAATTTTATTATAGCTACAAATTAAGAGATTGTCATTAAGACAATATAAAAAATAAAAACTAAAAAGTGTTACATCCAATCTTGGTATTCAAATTCATAGGATCTTCCAATGGCCGCATTGATATATATATATATATATATATTGGACATGTGCCTACTTCATGTCACAAAATTAACCTAATGAATCATGCTTGACATTAATTAGGATGTTAATTTGTTAGTAGAGTTAGATTACTAGAGCAGTCGCTCTATTGACTTGAGCATGAGACCTGACTTTAACATGTAAGTGCACTCTCATGCCCACTTGAACTACAAACTGGGACTGAATAGTGAATGGTCTTTAATGGTTTCAAACTCTTCCCTTTACTAAAAAAAACCATTTTATTCTCTTTTCACTTCTTATTTATTTGTTGACTGAACATATCTTTATTGGTCCTCAGTCATCACAAGTAATTCCAACCTTCGGGTCACTTTCTTTGATTTATCCCAAAAATAATAATAAAATAAATAATAATAATAACAAGAGGCAAAAAAAGGGTTGAAATAACAATATAAAGAAGAAAAAAAAATCTAATTTTATTTTCCCTCAATTAATCAACACACAACCTTCACTTGGTCGCTGCATACAACATGGTATACTGCACTAGGTCTGTCCTAGGTCTGCCTATATACAACCTTCTTTTTTTCCTTTTTCTTTTTTCTTTTTATGTTTCTTCTTCTTACTAACATTTATTTCTCACAACATCCTTTCACTGGGAATCTCAATGGAGAATGTATATTTACTTTCAATTGACAATGAAGATTAAGGCCTTGTTTGGGATAAATTAAAAAAGTCAAAAAGTTTCTAAAAAGGCTAAAAAATCTATAATATTCAAGGATAGCTTGTGGGGGAAGCTACTAAGGCAAAATTATTATTTTGTCATTTGAATTCAACTATCAAAAAGTCAAAAAGTAAAGATAAAATTACCATTTTGATTTTACTACAATATTTTATTACACATCTTTTCGTAAAAAGTCAAAAAATTATCTCAAATATACATATTTTTTTCTCTACTTTTTTAACCAAAAGTCAAAAAGTATACTTATATAGCACATCCCAAACAATTACTAAGGTTATTACCCTCTTACTCTGATAGAGTTGTACACATCAAGGTATTTTCCAGCTGTGTTATTCCAGCTATTATCAATTTCCATAATCTTCTGTGAGACATCATTCCATTCATTTGGTTCTGCGTATCAAAAACAACAATAAATGAGAATTAAAAGAAAAGTGGCCGCAGTGATTCTATACTCATGCTTGCTTCCATGTAAAATGACTTTGACCATGTAGAGAAGAAAGAAACATCTCAAACTGTTTGAATTTAGTGGCAATGATGTAAATGATAGTGAAGCAAAATTATGGAATTTCTTGAAATTTTAATAAACACAAGATGGGAAATGCAAGGTATGAAAACTCTGCTGTACTTACTCTCTCGATAGCGAGAAAATGCACGGTCTAGAGCTCCATTCAGGGATCCTTCATCGATTCCTTCAAAGACAAACCTTCAAGAAATAATACACTGCATCAGTTAAAAGCTTGAGCCTACGAAAACCAAATATTTAGGTGTAGCGCTTTCCTCAATCTAAAACTAATGTTTACATTTCAACAGGCATTAACTAGATCACATCACTTTAATTGAACCGTGTGGACAATTCAGGCTCTTAATTTAATCAATCTATTAACACCATTCGGTTTTCAAATGCTCTTCTGATCCTCATCATTTAATGCCCATGTACCACAACCTTCTTTTTTTTCTTTTTCTTTTTTTTCCTTTTTTAACTGTAGTACTAGAAAGCCAAGAAGTCATTTATAGAAGTTCAGTACTTCACTTGTGCATAAGGTACAAAATTGCAAGCAAATGTAACTTTTTTTTAGTAAGCCAAGTTGAACCAAATCTAACAATGCTGCTAAATGAAACCTCATGAAAATTTTAAACGTTGACTTGACATGTGTACTTCAAGGTTCATTTATATACTTGATGATAAAGTATCATTTGTCCTATTATTTTTTACTTAAAGTTGTGCTTAGGCCAAAGGTAAACATGGTCAAAGACCTAGAGTGTTACATCAAGCTTCATGATGCACTAGGAATCAACTCAAGCTTTTGAAAGGAAGTTCAAGTTAAAGTGCACATGAGGTTACAGCAAAACCAATGTAGGACCGTTTGGATATAGAAATTTTACAAGCCTAGCAACAGAGTTCCTGGAAAACTTGTAAAACTGTAGCATAAATGTAGCATAATTTCCAAGAGGAACATGAGGACCAAGACAGGTTAAAATCTTTCCCAAACGCAATCGAGGGTCTAATCTATTGTTTATGTTCAAGCATACATATCTTCACTAAATTGGCCCAACAAAGACTTATAGATGCAATGGTAAGGAAGAATGATATGATCATCGTAAATAGAAATTTTAAGGAAAGTGAAAGACCTAAAATGACATGGGAGGTGGTGATAAAAAAAAATGTGTGCATTTATTTAATTTAACTGGGCATAAAACTTTGATAGGGTGGAATGACAACTTGGTATGTTTTGGTTTAGTTTGGTTAGTTTGGGAACTCGTGTCAATAGCAGATGTTATGTCTCATTGATTAAGATATACACCACAAACAACAGGATAAATGACAGTAAGAAAATTCACTCATACCTTGTCTTAAATTGACAAGAATTCCAAGTGTCTGCCATTCATTTTTGTGAAAGTCTCCTACTGTACAAATTGTTGTATCGCATGAACTCTTCTAAATGCATATCCATTTTGGACACTCACCTCAATATGGGCATAGGATATGCATATGATATATCTAGTTCGATAGGCAGCCGTCGAGGAACTCCCTTGTTAAATTACCTTTGCAACATGGTTGCTTCAAAATTGAGTGAAGTGTTCATACTTAATGCTCTATGTTACATAAGAAAATCCCCCTACCTTATAAGTAAAAGATCATTAAGAAATATGAATATTAGCCATGTCTGGTATTCCTTGGACCTTGTGAACTCAATGCTTCAACACATGCCCCCAGTAGACACACACACACGTACTTGAGAGCATGTACATAGACAACTTGCTACACTAAAATTCTCGTATAGATACATACAAAGGCACAGATATGCACAAATGTTATTAAATGCCAAATTTAAGTATTAGAAAATTTCCAAAGGTTAGGTATGTACCCAATCTTTTCCCTCCCAAACACACATTAATGTGTACTAACTGGGCAGCGTTGTTTTTTTTTTCCAAGTATATAATATAATAATATTTAATACACACATAATAAATTGCCATTGGAAAGCCGTAAAAGAAAAATGAACTGTAACTATGAGAAACAACATGGTCAACTATGATTTATTTGTTACTAAAGTTCTAGAGTGTGATAAAATAAAATGGTTGCAGCCAACATAAGTAATGTGGATTAGTTTTGTTTAGTTTCAGTAGTAACTAAAAATTTGATAACAAGAAAAACAAGTTACCCATTAGCCATCTCAGCATGTAACTCATCATCCATATCAAACACTGTATCAGCAAGACCACCAGTCTTCCTAACTATTGGGACCTGAAATAATCAGAATTCAGAAGTATGCCTTGCCTCAGTGCTTTTCTGTTAACCAATGGTCTTGAGTCTGTTGGGCATATGAATATTCTCTAAACAAAAAAAATAAATAAACAAATGATGCAACTAGTCTTTTTGATTGTTATAGATGTACAATTCTTTTGCCATATGATTTTTATTTTTGATAAGTGGGCATATGATGAAAATTAAATCCTTTAATCCAACCTTCCTTTAGATGCCATGTCAGGAGTATTAACACTGCACCTATAATGGCTTTGGCAAAATGTACACAAATAGGTATTACATGGATGCATAACTGGACACTTATGATATTACTTGGCAGGATAAACCAATCATATACTTGCAGCTCCAAAATGTCGAATTTTCTTTTTCTATAACTTCTTGAACCATGAAGGTCAAAATTATTTCTTCAAATATTACAAGAATAAAAACACACACAAAAATAAAAATAAAAATAAAAATAAAAATAAAAAATGCAGTGATGACTGAGCAGTGAAGTCAACAGTCATCACTCATTACCCAGACAAGAGAAGAGGAGTGAGTTTACAAGATAGTATATACCGCTCCGTAACGCATTCCAATCATCTGAGCAAGTCCACATGGCTCATATATGGAAGGAACTAATACCATGTCTGCTGCAGCATAAAGCATATGTGACAGCTCCTCACTGCATAGTGGATTCGATATCAAAGCATAGACAACACGAGGAAAACTCAATCAATAACCAGCATAGTTGACAACATATTATTCAGGATATAAAAGCTCACTTTAGGCTTAAAAATAAATATTCAAGTAGAGTTCTAAAATTTTAAAACAGAGAAAGTAACAACAAAAAATTAACAGATTTGAGTAAATAGCTCTTTGGTGTTCCAAGATGATTTACCTGTACATCAGAAGAATTCGGATGCCGGGTCCTTGGTTATGCTACAGATTGTACAATAATTGATTTGTAATCAGTTTATCATGTCAATTGCATAAAGAAGCAGAAGACAAGAAAAATGATTTAGGCAATGCAGTTCACAACAAGAGTTCCATATTGTGTAGTAAAAAGATATTCACACTCCCTTTTTTTGTCTTTTAGCCTCTCACAAGGATAGTGTGAGAGGCTGAAAGTGAAGTGTGAACATTATTTGTCTTTGGAAATCATGCAGCATCTTAAAATTGATTTTAACTTTATTTGGGATTTATTCTTGCGGAAGCATATTGCAACTCTTTATGTTCGTTCAAATGATCAGTTGGGTGATATTCTCACCAAACCATTAGCTTGCTCATTGTTTCAATGTCTTCCAAGCTAGGCTGTTTGATATGCTTTAGCTTCGCATAGTAGAGTGTTAAGTTATTTTGCTTATGTAACAATGAGGGTACTATTGTCATCTTCTACTGTTATTAATATAAATATGTACTAAGATGGAGAGTTTTTTGCCCACCCAAAACCTGTTCATCTAATTGTCTTCCCTTTTCTTCTCCTCTGTTTTTTCTATATTCTTCTCTTCTAACCCTAACCATAGTTTCTGTGATTTACACTTCAACTCTGTTAAATTTAATGCATAAAGAGAAATAGAGAATTGTATAGATATTGATTGTATTATTGATTGATGTATGCTATATATTACAAATGGTGAGGGGCTTCTTATATAGGAGATGTAGTGGAGTAGGTGGTAGTAGGTGGTAGTGGTAGGTGTGTAGTAGGTGGTAGTAGGTAGTGGTAGGTGTAGTAGGTGGAGTAGGTGATGGTAGGTTTTAATAGCCCCCGCAAACTCAAGGGGGATAGGAACTAACCAACTTGATTTTGGAGAGAGTAACAAAACAAGAAAATAATCTGAAAAATAAAAAATGGATAGGAGACACTGTATGGTCGTGTCAGACCGTTGTAGAAGACTGTATGGTTATGGCAGACCGATGTAGAAGACACTGGCTCGTGTCGGACCGATGTAGAAGACAGTTTATGGGGTCATGTCGGACCGTTGTAGCAGACAATATTGTGATAGTTGTTGTGACAGTTTACGGAGTCTTGCTGGACCCTTGTAGAAACTAACCGGAATCAATGTCGGGACAGTTTACAGAGTCTTGTCGGACCCATGAAGGAGCTAACCGGAATCAATGTCGGAACATTTTACAGAGTCTTGTCGGACCCTTAAAAAGTCGCACCCTCAAAAGGTGTGCCCAATCTGTCAAAAGGCGTGCCATCAAAAGGCGTGCCCAATCCATAAAAAGACGTGCCATCAAAAGACGAGCCCAAGTCATAAAAAGGTGTGCCGGACATGATGGCGAGGCGCGTCACCGTCATTCATGTCGAAAGTCACTTTCGCTATAATATCATCACCACCTTCATCGGCGTCATCCAAGTCGGCAACGGCAGCTTCGAAAGCGTCCTCTTCACAATCATCCCTCTCTACTACCCTTTACTGGGTACACTCTGGGCACAGTACCATGCCTGACCGGTTCAGGCCCTTGACCAAGGAAGCCCCAAGCCCACTTGTTAGGTGGCCTTGGTTCATAGCTCTTGCTTTCCTTTTGTATGCCTGGAGAACAGTCTTGTGGGAGTTGTCCAACTGGAAAAAGGTTTTATCAAGTATTACCCAGTTCGTGGGATACCTCTTAAAACTTGCACTGGCCCTTATTTTCCATTTCATTGGTGATCCAGTAACTTCTCTGATCAGAGGAATAGAAACTACACTTTACACCATTTGAGCTTTCTACTCAGCAGTGATAGCATATACTCCTATTCCAGAGCTGACTCTGATCATCGTGCTGGTGTCTTCCGTAATTGCCATTGCTGAAGCTTCTGTTCCAGACTCTGTAGACAGCCAACCATACCTTCTTACAGTAGCTGGCTTAATCGGTTTTGCAGCCGTGAGAGACTTCATCTCCGAGCTGTCCTTCTGGACGCTCCTATTGGGATTGTTTGGTTTTGCTCGGTTTGTTAAGAAGAGGGATTATGTTTCTCCTGTGACAGCTACTCCGAATCCAGATGTTCTCATCTGTACACTGATGTTTTCCATCGCTGAAACAAAGTTTGGGATGTAGATTTTGCTGTACCACTTGGCATATACCACTCCACTTCCTTTTCCTCTCATCTTCTCCGATGCTCAGATTCTCCAACCCATATTTTTTCCTTTTTTCTTTCCACACACTCCTGTTCCCCACTCAACTTTCTTTTTCTTTTTTTTATTTTATTATTTTACTCCATCTTTTGAAAAGAAAACGAAACACAAATTGATTCTTTTTCTTATATATATATATATATATATTTTTTTTTTAAAAGAAAAGATAAAAAGTTGAGGTTCAAGGAAAAGTTGGGCGGTGGAAAGAAGAAAAAGAAATATATATATATATATATATATATATATAAGAAAAAGAATCAATTTGTGTTTCGTTTTCTTTTCAAAAGATGGAGTAAAATAATAAAAAAAAGAAAAAGAAAAAGAAAGTTGAGTGGGGAACAGGAGTGTGTGGAAAGAAAAAAGAAAAAATATGGGTTGGAGAATCTGAGCATCGGAGAAGATGAGAGGAAAAGGAAGTGGAGTGGTATATGCCAAGTGGTACAGCAAAATCTACGTCCCAAACTTTGTTTCAGCGATGGAAAACATCAGTGTACAGATGAGAACATCTGGATTCGGAGTAGCTGTCATAGGAGAAACATAATCCCTCTTCTTAACAAACCGAGCAAAACCAAACAATCCCAATAGGAGCGTCCAGAAGGACAGCTCGGAGATGAAGTCTCTCACGGCTGCAAAACCGATTAAGCCAGCTACTGTAAGAAGGTATGGTTGGCTGTCTACAGAGTCTGGAACAGAAGCTTCAGCAATGGCAAGTACGGAAGATACCAGCACGATGATCAGAGTCAGCTCTGGAATAGGAGTATATGCTATCACTGCTGAGTAGAAAGCTCGAATGGTGTAAAGTGTAGTTTCTATTCCTCTGATCAGAGAAGTTACTGGATCACCAATGAAATGGAAAATAAGGGCCAGTGCAAGTTTTAAGAGGTATCCCACGAACTGGGTAATACTTGATAAAACCTTTTTCCAGTTGGACAACTCCCACAAGACTGTTCTCCAGGCATACAAAAGGAAAGCAAGAGCTATGAACCAAGGCCACCTAACAAGTGGGCTTGGGGCTTCCTTGGTCAAGGGCCTGAACCGGTCAGGCATGGTACTGTGCCCAGAGTGTACCCAGTAAAGGGTAGTAGAGAGGGATGATTGTGAAGAGGACGCTTTCGAAGCTGCCGTTGCCGACTTGGATGACGCCGATGAAGGTGGTGATGATATTATAGCGAAAGTGACTTTCGACATGAATGAAGTGCCTACAAGGGTTCCACCAGATAGCCCTTTGGCACCTCAATGGTATAGACTAGAGCATCGGAAAGGTGAGACTAAGGTGAAAGGAGAGGAGGTATGTGTAGAGGTCCGGCGGGCGGCCAAGGCGAGACTGCCGCCCGCCGGTGAAGCAGAATGACTAGGTTGTTAACCTTGCTCTGATACCATGTTAAATTTAATGTATAAAGAGAAATAGAGAATTGTATAGATATTGATTGTATTATTGATTGATGTATGTTATATATTACAAATGATGAGGGGCTCCTTATATAGGAGATGTAGTGGAGTAGGTGGTAGTAGGTGGTAGTGGTAGGTGTGTAGTAGGTGGTAGTAGGTGGTGGTAGGTGTAGTAGGTGGAGTAGGTGATGGTAGGTTTTAACAAACTCAAACACTTGTAATCAACTGACTAAAAAGTAGGCTTGAAAATTGTTCACTTATACCAAAATTTGACAAGGTAGACAGAAGGGATGGTTGAAGCCTTGTATTGAGACAAATAGAATAACTCTTTTCCACAGAATTCCGTATGCTAATATAGGTTATCAAACAGGAAAAACCCTCTGCCATTCTCCCTCCCCGCTATACCTTTTTCTCCTCCTTGAGAATAACATCATCAATCTAACATTGCTATTAAGAAAGGAGAAAAACATTTTTCTGATAACTAACATATATCTATTAAATAAGCATCAACAGGATGCCTCCCAAGAAAGAAGAAAAACATTATCCCAGACACGATATCCAATCTTAAAATTATTACCATCTTTGCAAGAGCCTCAAATCCTCTTTCAACCCGATTATCTGAAGCTTTTCCCAGTACAATCATTTGTCCCCCCTGCAACAGACTTCAAAATTAGAGCTGAAGTGCACTGATTGAAACACCAAACAGAGCATGGCGAGATAAATAGTTAGGCAGTCAACAACAGAATAACAACATCAAACTTTCTAGTAACAACCACATAACCGAGACACTTCTATGCCTTTTTTACTGTACCAAAGAAACGTATGTGTTGAACACAACTAACCATGACCTTGTCCTTGTTGCATAGAATACATACAGATTCTCCTTAAGACACCACAACTGAGCAAAACTTGAAAGTATAGTGGTCACTAATTGGTACTGTTAACAATGTGCATACATGCATGAGGTCTCATGTTGGGTTCTGCAAATAACTGTATAGCTTTCTTCTAAAACAAAAGTTAAAGCATTTTCAAGAATGTAACTAGAATTATGGAATAATACTCATTATCATGATTTGTAAGAAAATGAGTACTTAGCAGAAGCAGTAGCATATTCAAACTTATCTTGTGTGCACAAATCCGAATCCGTTGAACCAGGACGTATTATGTATGCATCAATCAACCTCAAACAATATTCACTCTAGCAGAGGAGTAACACCACACAAGGGGTGTTTCCCACAAATCCACAATGTAAGGATTTTTCACTGTTCAATGATGGTGGATAGATGAAGAGTATGCGTACGAGTACTTTTTGGGGAATTCTTAGAGAGGTCTCCAGATACAACGGAATATATCTGACATACATCCAGTGTATATCAGTAACCCACTATTATCTCCAACATAAGGTTAAGGTTTAGTTTAAAATACAAATATCCATATCACATGGGTCAATGGGTTATGCCACCATGGGCACCTGAATTTGGGTCCAAGACCCTACCCAATGTCTGACATGACTGAAGCAAAGCTAGCTTGACTGACTGGGAGTGTTAACCTTCCAAAACACAACTAATGCGGAATAAAAACATCATTTGTAATCTCCAATAAAGCTACTCAAACCAGGATGGGTTAGCTAATCTTTTATGTAATGTGTATAAACAATGACAAACAAAAATAAAAACCTATTATTCCAAAAAGGACTAGATGAATATTATTATATTATGACTAATTGAGAAATATCAATGCAAATGGATGTCTGATAGCAGGCCTTTTATCTATGATGTCACTTAACAAACAGCTACAGTTAAGAAATTTGTTGCCAAAGCTCACTTCTCAGACCATAGAATTTTACTCGCTCAAAGTGGAGATAATCATCATCATCCAAAACAAATAAACAATGGGAAAGTTTGAAACATGCAATCCCGACTTCATAATGTTGACTGACAAAGTATGGTTGTTATTGCATTATTCTAAAAGTTGAAGATTAAGATGTGTAGCTATTAGGGTTTAAGAAAAGAGAGGAGAGAGAGAGAGAGAGAGACTGTCGGTAGTAATAGGGTTTGATCAAAATCAAATCAACCCTTCACATCAATCCTTTATTTATAATAAACTCAAGTCTTACATTATGAAACTAATACCCCTCATTATATAAATAATAACACAATTATTTTAATAGTGCCCCTCAAGCTAGAGCATAGATATTGAACATGCCCAGCTTGGCAAGAAGACATTGGAAAGAAGGTCGAGCTAATGGTTTAGTAAGAATATCACCAAGTTGTTCATCGTACCTAACATAGGGAGTCACAAGCTATTTCCGAAGTAATAAATCCCGAATAAAGTGACAATCAACCTCAATATGCTTAGTGCGTTCATAAAACACCGAATTATTAGCAATGAAAATATCAACCTAATTGTCACAACACATGGACATAGGAGTAGGAATAACAAGGCCAAAATCCTGCAGAAGAGAACGAACCCACAACATCTCGGAAGCAGTATGTGTCATAGCATGGTACTCGGCCTCAGCACTAGATCGAGCAACAACATTTTATTTCTTGCTATGCCAAGTCACCAAGTTGTCACCGACAAAGGTGCAGTAGCCAGAAGTAAAACGATGATTGGTACGACTATCAGCTCAATTGGCATCACTAAAGCCAGTGACAAACAAAGAAATAGAAAACCGATATAAGAGACCACGGCCAGGAGCACTCTTCAAGTAATGCTAAATACAACACACAACATCAAAGTGAGGTTGGCGCGGAGCATGTATAAACTGACTAACCACTCGCACAGCATAGGTAATATCCAAACGAGTGACAGTCAAATAAATCAATTTCCCAACCAACCGAAGATACTGACCAACATCAGACACTAACTCACCATGCTCACCATCAAGTTTGATAGATGAGTCCATCGGAGTATCAATGGGTCGAGCACCCAAGAAGCTAGTCTTAAAGAGAAGATCAAGCACATACTTTCGTTGAGACATGAAGAGACCACAAGAAGAACGAGCAACTTCAATCCCAAGAAAATATCGAAGATGCCCCGAGTCCTTCGTATGAAATTGGTGGCTTAAATATTGTTTCAAATCAGCAATCCCAGTAGAATCGCTGCCAGAAATAATGTCATCCACATAAACAATTAAGATGAAAACCCCAATAGAAGAGTGGCAAACAAAAACAGAATGATCAGAGGTAGATCTCTGAAAACCATAGGCCAGCACAACACGACTGAATCAGTCAAACTAAGCACGAGGAGATTGCTCCAATCCATACAAAGCTTTCCGTAACCGACAAACAAGATGCTCAGAACCAGGCACAACATAACCAGGAGACTAGTCTATATATATCTCCTCTTGCAATCACCATGGAGAAAGACATTTTTTATGTCAAGCTGATATAAGAACCAAGAGGAACTAACAGCAATAGAAAAAAGGATCCGAACTGAATTAAGACGAGCCACAAGGGTGAAGGTCTCAAGATATCAATGCCATAAGTTTGGGTGTAGCTTTTTGCAACCAAACGGGCCTTAAGACATTCAACTGAACCATCAAGGAGACACTTGACAATATAAATCCAATGACACCCAACAGTAGGCTCCCCAGAAGGAAGAGTAGTGAGCTCCCATGTTTGATTCTGGTGGAGAGCACTCATCTCCTCATCCATAGCATGTTTCCAACCGGAGCTAGACAAGGCCTGTCCATAAGAAGTGGGAATAGACAAAGAAGACAAACTACAAGCAAAAGACAGGAAAGAAAGAGAAACACAAGACTATGAAACAAACTCAGAAATAGGATGTTGAGTTCAAGTACGTTTACCTTTACGCAAAGCAATTGGCAAATCAGCAGAGGACGGAAGAGAAGAGGGAACAGGAACCTCAAACACAGAAGATGTACCAGCTGGGCCATAATCAACAACAAGAGAAGTGTTAGATCTCTGATAGACCTGAAATGGGAAGATAAAGAAGATGGCATATCTAGTAACAGAGAAGAAAGTGTAGGAGTGGTAGTAGAAGAGGACACATCAAGCATAGAGAGAATAGGCGTAGGAGTGGAAAAAGGAAAGGAAGGCTCCTCCTCACGACAAGAGATAAGATCAGGAGACGGATGTTAGCCTTGGGAAGAGAAGAACGAGGTGAACTCAAAAAAAGTGACATCAGCACTGACCAAATACCGACCGAACTCAGGATGATAACAACGATAACTCTTTTGTGTATGAGAATAACCTAAAAAGACACAATTGCAAGCACGGGGTGACAACTTATCCTAACTAGGTTCACAAACATGAGCAAAGGAGACACAACCAAAAACCCGAGAAGTAAGGAGAACGGGAAGAATATAACAATGAAAACGGAGACTGATTATGCAACACAACCAAGGGCATATGGTTAATAAAGAAACATGCTGTGAGGACAACATCACCGCAGAAGTGTTTAGGCCCCTGCATGTTAAATAACAAGGTTCAAGCAACATCTAAAACATGACGGTGTTTCCATTCAGCAACCCCATTTTGCTGAGAAGTGTGAGTACAAGTAGTCTGATGAACAATAACCCGATCAACACAAAAGGAATTAACAACAGACTAAGTCTATTCTAAGGCATTATCAGAATGAAACACTTTAATATGCTTACCAAACCGAGTATAAATTTCATTATAAAACTTATTTAATATATGAGGTAACTCAGATCGTTGATTCATTAAAAACAACCAAGTCATCCGAGAGAAATCAGTAACCTGATGTACATGATCAGGCTTGCCATACTTTTGCCAACAGCAAGGCTCAGTATGACCAGTGGAACCACAATAATCACACTTCCGGTCACCACGAGAAGTAGAACCACAACCACCATGAGAACCACTATAGGAGCCACGATAAGAACCACCACCACGGGAACTATGACCACAATAACTAGGTTAGGAGCCACATGAACCAAAGTTGCCACAAGAACCACTGGGAGTGGTACCACTACCAGAAACCAAAGTAGAGGAAGCGCCAATAGAAGAACTGGAGCTGGAGATAACAGAACTATAGCCTAATGAAGAACAAAATAAGCAGGAATATGCATTGATGGCTGAAAGTAAAGTCTCACTGGCTAAAATCTGATCCTTACAGCCATGCAAATTAGAATCTAAACCACTAAGAAAGGAAGCATTCATAAACTCCTCCTAATATTGCTTTTGTTGGGCCAAGTTCTCTGTGAACGGGCAATGTTGCAACAACTGATCCCACAAATGCTTAACACTACTATAATACTCAGAGAATGGGCGACCAGACTGTTTAGTAGCAAAAATATGCTCATACAGAGTATCAACAAGAGACACATTACTCTGATTTGAAAAGGAATGAGCAAAAGAGTCACAAATCTGCTTAGACGTCTCACAAAACTCAGCAGTGGTAGCAACATTGGATTCCAGGTTATGCCAAAACCAACCCATAACACTAGAATCCTCACTACACCAATCATCATAGGTGGTATCCTTGTCAGAGGGAGGAAGCTCAGTAAGGAAACGGAATTTTTTCTTTCCACGCAAAAACACCTTAACAGCATGAGCCCGAGCAAGATAATTCAAACCATTGAGTTTCTTGGTGGTAATCGACTTAGGCAAGTCATCATCTTTAACCAAAGGAGAGTGAGAGGCCTCAGTCTTAACTGCCAATGATGTGTCTTCAGCAATCAAACCCAAATAGTAAATAAATAACCAGAATGGATAACCAAAGCAAGTAACAAAACTACCCAACAAACAACTATGCAAAATACCCAACCAAGGTAGGTACAATATCAGAAACTGAGCCAGCAACAGAGGAAATAAAATCAGATAGCAAACAGACATAGCAACAGATAGCAAAACAGGCCCAAAAAACCGAAAAAACTGGATGAAATCACCACCCAATGCACCAAGACAGCAAAGAAACACCAAAGGAGGCCTAAGAAGGCTCAGTCAGCACCTATAGGTTACGTTTCAACAACCAAAAACAGCCCCACAAGTGCTGGAGTGGCAGATCAAAAAATAGGCCAATATATTACCAAAAAATATTCAAAAATCATAACTCACATCAGATGCCTTCCATTAATTTTGCAAAAATAACCATAATTACCAGAAGAAAATTTTGAACCAAACCAGAGATTTCCCAAAGCACGACGTCTGTACGGACCTGACGTTACGCTGACATCATCGTACAGATGATGACATCAGCACGCCATCTTCCTCTTGAAAAGATCTCCAGAGTTTGTAGAAGGATTGTTTGAGTAGAATCTTATGCTCTGATACCAAGTTGAAGATTAAGATGTATAGATATTAGGGTTTAAAAAGAGAGAGAGAGAGAGAGAGAGAGAGACTATCGGTAGTAATAGGGTCTGATCAAAATTAAATCAACCTCCACATCAATCCTTTATTTATAATAAACTCATGTCTCACATTATGACACTAATACCCCTCATTATATAAATAATAACACAACTATTCTAACACTAAAAAGAATCACATATTCTAAAGCGCTTTCTATTTGATTTCTAGAGAAAAGGCACAAGCTTAGCAGTTGAAGCAGTTCAGTTAAGGTTTCAAGTCTAGGGTGCCTTAAAAGTTAGAACTCTAATCAATTTGGTGCAACATTATTTTAATTTCTAGTTTTGAGTACTTTAATATCAATAATAATCAAATAAATAAATATAATTCTTAGAAATGATACAACGTCACATATATTTGTCGCATCATGCACAGCCAGAGAGAGAGACTGCAAAATAAATAGACAGCAGACTCACAAGTTCTTCAACGTGCTTAATTGCATGAGTAATCAAATGAAGACCCTTTTGAGCAACCAATCGAGTTATGCAGACAACCAGGGGCACCTTGGCTGTAATTTTAGACCCAGTATTACCCGCTATAATTTCTTCTGAAGTCAATCCAAGTCCCCTTTGGACAAAGTGTTTGCATATCTTCTTCCCCTCAATTCTTTGAGCTGCAATAAGAAAATCACAATTACATAAAGGACAAATTGAACTCTAGTACATCGTTTAGAGACTAGAAGTTCAAAACAGACAAGCATAATAAGATCAAAAGATAACTCCCTCTGCATTACAGTAACAATTACATAAAGAGTGAGAACAATCTTAGTTCAGATTTAGACAGGTAGATGAGTTACAAAGATCCATAAAGTTACAATGTGAGTTAGAACATGTAAAAAGCATCTAACCCTTGTCCTACATAGTCGTAATCTAAAAAAACAGGAGAGTAAAAATATGCTAATTTTGTAAGTTTAGAGAAGAAAAAGAGTTCGGGAATGAGTGAGACCCCATCCCCTTTTGTATTGATAATAATACGTAATTGCAAGAGTGCCATAAGGCATAAAGTATGGGCCAACCCATTAATCAAGGGGAAAGACAAAAAAAAAAAAGAATAAAAATATGAATATAATTTCCTATTCTAACACTCCCTCTCAAGCTGGTGCGAAAATATATCTCATGCCCAGCTTGTTGAGAATGTTATGAAATGGTTTGTTCCCTATTCTTTTGGTGAGAACATCTGATAATTGGTCCCCAGTCTTCACAAATGGAGTACATATAGTGCCACTAGTAAGTTTTTCCTTGATAAAATGCCTATCAATCTCTACATGCTTGGTTCTATCATGTTGAACGGGATTATGAGTTATGTTGATTGCTGCCTAGTTGTCACAATACAGTCTCATGGAGTCGGTCTGATGGATCCCCAAGTCTCCCAACAATAGTTTAATCCATAGCAACTCACAAACACCCTAAGCCATAGCCCTGAATTCTGCCTCAGCACTAGATCTAACAACCACATTCTATTTCTTACTTCAGCATGTGACTAGGTTGCCACCAACAAATGTGCAGTATTCGGAAGTTGATTGTCTATCAGTAACTAATCCAGCCCAACCTGCATCAGTAAATGCCTCCACACCGAGATGGCCATGTTTTGAAAAATAGAGACCCTTTCCAGGGGAAGAATTCAGGTATCTCAGGATTCTCATAACTACCTCTAAGTGGGAAATTCCACGAGCATGCATAAATTGGCTAACCATACTCACTGCAATGGCCATGTCTGGATGTGAGTGGGATAAGTATATGAGTTTGCCCACTAGTCTCTGGTATCTCCCCCTGTCTACTGGCTCTCCCTCTTGATCCTCACTTAGTTTCTGGTCTGGTTCTAGAGGTGTATCATGTCTACCTCCAAACATTCCAGTTTCCTTTAGCAAGTCAAGTACATACTTTCTCTGAAATATGAAGATGCCATCATTGGTCCTAGCTACTTCAATGCCCAAGAAATACTTCAAACTACCCAAGTCTTTGATTTCAAATTCCTTGGCTAAGTATAGGTCCTGAAAAAGACAATGATCAGGAAAAAAACGTTACGCTACAATTTAAGACATGAGTAATACAATTCAAAGATAAAAGATTAATACTAAAATTGGAAACATGGAGAACAGAGGACAAAGGAAGGGAAGAGGTGGCATGAATTAAACATTTCCTTGACACAGACGAAATAGTATTATCAACAATATGCACTTTTTCCTAACCTAAGGAGGGGTTATACTCTAAAAATAAATTAGAGGAGCCAAACATATGGTCAGAAGCACCAGAATCAATAATCCATGGTGCAGTCGTATAAGATAGCAATGCACATGAGGAGAAAGCCAAGTTACCTGAATTGGAAAAAGAAGAAGATTGTGTACCTGTAGCAGACGTAGAGGCGCGACGGTCTAGCAAGTGGCGAAGAGCAATCTCAAAATCAGAGGCAGATAACCCCAAAACATCAGTAACCGGTGAGACAACAAGAGATGAAGGTGATGGCTCAACCAAAGATGCGCCCGTGTATTGGCCCCTCGGCCTCTCGACTGACCAGACCGACCCCTCGAGTACTAGGGGGATCTCCTTGGCCACCAAAAAGGGTCGCATGTAGCTTCCAACAAGTTTCTCTGGTGTGGCAAGATCTATGGCAGTAGTCACAATAAAGCTGATCCTTTTTAGAGGAGGAATGAAAACCATAAGGCACACCATCTCGAGAGGGTGCAGAAACTAAGGTAGAGCGATCAGTAGTGACAGTAGAAAGCATAGCAGAGCGGCAACTTTCCTCATTTTGCACAAAAGCAAAAGCTTCCTGGAAAAAGGAAAGCACATCCATGTCAAGTACTCTGCTCCGAACAGAATCATACTCTACATTCAAGCCTTCCAAAAACTTGAAGACACTCTTGTTCAACAAATTTCCAGTAACCAGCAGAATCGGTAGGACATGCAGGCTTGTAGTCCTTAAGGTGATCAAGTCACTTCCACCCATTGCTAAGAAAGGTAAAATACTGGAGGATAGTCATCTCACCTTGCACCGACTTCTCAATGGAGCGACGTAACTAAAAAGCCTATGAGAAGTTTCCCTTCCAGGAATAAGTAGTAGCTACGGCTTCCCAAGTATCCTGGGCAGTATCCATAAACAAGTGGCCCTCGCCAATCTCCGAAACCATAGAATGGATCAACCAACCCATAATCAGAGAATTGGTGATCTCCCACTAGTCATAACGAGGGTCTGTGATACTGGGTGCCTAGACCCTCTCATCCACATATCCCATCTTCCCACTGCTCTTCAAAAAAATAATCAGACTCTGCGACCACACGAGGAAATTCTGACCATTAAATAGAGATGTGATTTTAAGGCCAGGGTTGAGGTTATCAGTCATAGAAGAAGGGATAACCGAGCTCTCGTCCTGAGATGGCTGAGAGGTAGTAGATTCACTAGTCAAATCTGCCATGAAGACTCTACTAACTATTCCTCAATCACAAGGCCAATCACAATCCCAAAAGATGAGAATGGAAGAACAAGTACAAGAACTAGAAAAACATAAAGACTTTAAGAATCCAGTTTTTTTTTTTTTAAAAAAAAAAAAGAGAATTAAAGGGTGTTTAATAACCAACCAATACAGACAAAGGCAAAACCAAAGGCAGAAGTCAAACCAAGGCTCAGAGGTGCCAACAAGAGTCATGCATACCAGAGACTTTGTCGACAAGGGCCACAAAGGCCAAAGGGACTGCCGATAGGCCCCTAAACAGTCAGAGGGACTGCCGACAGGCCCTTAGGGTCTCAGAGAAGCTGCCGACTGAGCCTAATAGGCTGTTGGGGAGCCTGGATGGGAAGCCGAAGACCTAGGAAAGGTGTCGTAGGCTATGGGTTACCTGGGTAGACTACCGACTAGTCTGTTGGACTGTGGGTGGGCTTCTGGCAGAAGAGAAGAAGGGCAATGGAGGGATGGGCTAGAGTTTTGGCTCTGATACCATGTAAGTTTAGAGAAGAGAAAGAGTTAGGGAATGAATGAGACTTCATCCTCTTTTATATTGATAATAATACGTAATTACAGGAGTGCCATAAGGCATAAAGTATCGGCAAGCCCATTACATCGATCAAGGGAAAGACAAAAAATAAGAATAAAAATATGAATATAATTTACTATTCTAACAAATTTATTTGCTGCCCCTGCAGTTTTAGCAACTCTCGTATTGCCTTTTCGAGCAATCTCATCCTAAACTAAGTATATGCAGGATGAGAGATTAAAATAGATTAAAAAAAATCAATTTAATTTTCCAACATGGAAAGATATATTAGTATTCTACGAAGACTGAAACCAAATTCGTTACCATTGAATTTAGAAGGCAAGAAAACATCTGTGGCAGGGTTCCATATCGCAGTATCTATTCCATTTAAAATACCATAGTACCTACCAGAGTTCATTATATGACATTGTTAGGCATGTATAGAACAATTAGAATAGAATAACTCAAAATTCTATATATGCAATCGCAAAGTCACATACAAAGGAATCAAGGAATATGGGTTGAATACAAGAAGAAAAAAAAAACATAGCCCAAGAAGAGAAAGATATGCAAAGAGCAGTTCTTCAATCGTCTGATTTGATACCAAATTTTCATGTTCTAGGTCATGCAATTTCATATGTACATATATAGCTAAAAATAGAAAGAGCAGAAACAGTTTAGTTTATCATACATGTAGGATGCCAGATAGCCTAATTGGTAAAGTTTTTGATAGTTGTAGACATTGATTTACATCCCACCTTCATTTGACCGCGAGGTAGCCAACTAATGCCTAGGACACCAAAAAAATTTAAAAAGTAAAAAAGTACACGTAGCAAAAATCTCTCATGAATAAACATGGCTACAATATGTCTAGTTTATGACATCATGTGAGATTTCTGAAACAGAAAACACCAATTGCCGTGGCCCATAATTGTGTGACAATATGCTGATCTGTGTGTTCAACAAGAATATTCATTATTTGGAGGAATCAAAAACCCATATGTAAGAATATGGAAACATCAGTTTCTTGACACAGTAACAATTATCATAATAGCAGTGCCCCTGTTATGTAGGTTCAAAACACCACCACAAATATCAATAAACATCAGATGATTGGGGCATAAAGATGTTTTGCATTCTTCTATTTAAGTTCAGTGTGCAGGCCAGCAGCTATATCACTTAAAAGAAAAACAAAAGGCTAAAGTTTTACTTAAGATAAGTGCTACTAATATTTTCAGGACAGCCTTCACTGAAATGCAACTTGGGGAATGTATGGCAGGAACAAAATTTGAACCTTCAAACAAATTCCACATTTGACTCGAGAGTAGTGTCAGATAGGACAAGTCAACTCCTCAAAATTCGACAGTAACAAGTAGTGTCAGACAGTAACAAATATCAATAAACATCAGATGATTGGGGCATAAAGATGTTTTGCATTCTTCTATTTAAGTTCAGTGTGCAGGCCAGCAGCTATATCACTTAAAAGAAAAACAAAAAGCTAAAGTTTTACTTAAGATAAGTGCTACTAATATTTTCAGGACAGCCTTCACTGAAATGCAACTTGGGGAATGTATGGCAGGAACAAAGTTTGAACCTTCAAACAAATTCCACATTTGACTCGAGAGTAGTGTCAGATAGGACAAGTCAACTCCTCAAAATTCGACCACGAATGTTATGTAGAATGTTTCCTTGAGTGTCAATACATTGTAATTCAATTCTTGAAGAAAGTTTAAGTTCAGAATATAGCTTTAATTGTGTCCTGAGCTTTCTAACCTAAATCCAGCTTAGTTGTAAAATCAACAACCAGCCTGCCTTGAAAACATTTATAGTCAAAGTACCAAAGAACTAAAATTGCATTTGACAAAGAGCCAACCTCCTAGCAATGGAGTTTTGGAATCCTTACGCAAATGCAACATTACTACTAGAAGACAGCACAAAAAATAATAATAAAATAAATAAAAATTTAAGAAGAGTCAGACACCACTAGGATTCAGCAGGTTAACAGGTTAAAATTTCCAGCATTACTGTATGTTGCATGCATAATAGAATGCACTCTGAATACGAGTTTTGCATGCTTCAAGAGTACAGAAATTTTTATTTATTTATTTATTTTTCGCATCTTGCACACTGAAGCCAACAATTAATAGTCACAGCCTCCAACAATTATAGCCCAAAATTAATACAAGTGATTGTTGTTTCTAATCGAACACTGCCGGGTTGTGCTGAGGCCAGAAATTGCTACATCTTTAGACATCCAATAAGTTAAAATATAAGAGCCAAGATCAAACGGCAAGTGCACGAAGAGTGGGACAAACTAAACTTATTAACATGCTTTTAAAAATTTCTTCTATTGCAACAATAAAAGCTGTTCTTAAGAAGGCTTTCATATATCTGGATCTATCTATGAAATGAAACCTATCAAGTGATTTTATCATAAATGCATTAAGTTCTCATAAAATGTTTCAACAAGGCATTCAATTATCAATAGCAGTAACTAGCTAAGTCTATGTAAAAAGAAAGAGATTCAAAAGGAAGGGTTAATTACAAACTGCAATGCGACAAATAAATAGAACATGGATTGAAAGATAAAACACCTGAAACAGCTTACTTATCACGATTCCCTATCAAAGTGCCTGCAAGCCATCCAGAACAGAGCGTCTCCCGAAGGTATGTTGGAGAGACTGTACTGGAAAATGGAAGAATCACATATTTATTGATGTTATTGTTAGATATCATATGTGTGTGTTTGTGTTAATGATTGTGTATGATATGGTATCAAAGTCCTAACTTTAATTTTTAACAGATCCACCCAAGAGAGTAGTCCCCCTTTGACAGATATGCTATTACTAGTTTCTGAGAACATTCTGTAATAAAAACAAGAACCAAACTGAAGAAAACTGATTTGTTTGGTATGGTTTGGTTCGGCTAAGTGGCACCTTCAGCTCAGTCCTGGATTCAATAGAACCAGCTTAGGTCATCTGGTTCACCATTTGCACCAGCCTGCACCAAATAACCCATGTGCACCCTAGAAGCTAAAAAAGCTAATGTATTTGGAAAGTTGCTAAAAAGTTGCTTTTTTGTGAGTGAAAAAGTTGATGTGACATTTAGCTTTTTTAGCTGATGACAAACAAGATTTTTGGCTTTTTGACTTTCATAGCCAAGCAATTGGCTTTTTCAGTGGATCCCAAACACACTAAAATACAGATGTAAACTTTGATATACAAGCCACAGAATGTAAGACCACTTACACTATTGCATTACTATACACAATGCCTCCTTTCAGTAAGCTCAACCTCTCGGGATTATGACCAACAGTTCGATCATCGACAGCCTGCCATTTTGAGAGAAACAGAAAAGGCTAGACAATTTAGTGGTTGAAGGTCACATTTTCAGAAATTCACCTGAGAATGAATAGAAATGACTAGAAAAAATTATAAGAGCAAATCACAGATTCAGAAGAGTCCTGTTTACAAAGATTTCAGCACATAAGAACAATTTTCCAGCTGAATGACTATTTTTTAATACAAATTATTTTTCATTCAATTTGAATAATGCCACATCTTTTTCATGAGAAACATGACAAAGTCGTTGCCACAAGGTCTTCTTACATAAATGCATTTTAACTTTCCATGTCTTCTTTTGGTTGCTTTAGTTTATCAGGCATAACTACATTCTACATGGGACTAGCAGGTAATGAAAATTATAATTAAAATAAAACAAGATCATATGATACAGATAAAGAACCCACCTTGTCAGCAGTTGCATATATAGATCCATCAAGGCCACATTTACTGAGTTCCTCTTGTCTGCCAAGAAAAGCAAAGGTAGGTCCATAAAGAGATCTTGAACATTTGAAGAATTTTTTGAGATACTTTTGATTTTATTTTGGTCCACTGATAGGCATAAGTAGCACTCCAATTATACCTTAATCTATACAAGTGTTTAGGATTTATAAAATTTTGAAGGTGACAGGAACCCCTTATTGCCCTAAAGCTGTAATTATCTCATAAGCCCAGGAACCCCTTATTACAAGTGCTTAGCCTTGTTGACAGGAACTCCTTATTACCCCCTCTCACAGAATTGCTGATCGAGTAAGCAAAATGCTGTATATTTGAACACGAGAAAAAGGGAATAGAAGATAAAAGTGAGCTGCATAATAGTAAACTGGCTAGAGTGCATCCCTATTATTTCCAGAAACAAAGCTAAAATATTATTAAGAAGCAATAACAATTGCTTTTTCTAGTACTTAAAAAACCAGGCTCCACCACTAAAGATTGGAATTGAGATTCTACTTTGAACTAATAAAAATCAACTGCATTAGCACAATGGAAAGAAATTAATGTAATTACATGAAACACACTCCCAACATAAACCAGGATACATCTCTGATAAGGCATTAGAGTCAGCAGCTGCAGATGATGGGGTTCAAGCTCAGTTACAACAGCTGCAGGTGCATCCTATCCAAACATAGGGCTGCTGTATACTAGCGCCTCTCATGTAACAAGAATTAGTTAGAGCCAGTTGGTTAGAGTTAGTATGCATGAGAGTGTATATAAATATCTCAAGTGCAATCAGCTATTCATTCAAGTGAAATAATATCACATCATTCTGCTTTAACTTTTCTTCACTTTTCTCCTCCACACCCAAAAATTATCAAAAAATTCATGAGGAAAATTATACTAGCATTTCTGTACTACCAAGGATATAAATTATTCACGCCAATTCTATTCTATAAATTGGTCTTACAGGCTCTTGTCAAACAAGGCTCATTTTGAACACAGCTTCAGAAACTCGTAAGACACTAGCCTCCATGGCAAGAGAAGTGAATTTGAGCCGCACCATGATCTATAATCCTATATAACATTATTGATTATGCAATTATTTACAACAATCTATAGATACACTTAGTTTTATGAATGAGACGAAACAAGAATCCGAAATTCATCATACGAGAAGTTAAAAGATTCAAAGTTTTCAAATCACCAAAGTGAGATAAAAATAAAATATGCATAGGTATATGATATTATACTTTTTTAAAAAAATTGCAACCCCACAATTTCCAAACTTTTCTTGTATTTTGTACCAAAGCTGAAGTCTAATACTATCAAAAATAGACCAACTTTACAAGTATAAATTTATACTTGTGTCAAAAGAGACCATTCAAAAATAAAAGTCAAGTGACTAAAACTCAAAAAATGTCTTCAATTCTTCATGCTCCAATCTTCATAAAATTTCTATTAGTAAAATTTCAACAACTCAAGTGATCCAAATACTCACCTCAAATGGGTCAAAGTATCTAAATAACTGTAAGAATTTATGTATTATTGATTGATTTCTGATTGATGTGTATATATTACAAAGCAGAGTAGCTCATTATATAGGAGAGGGTTTGGGTAGTAGGTGAGGAGTAGGTGAGGGTAAATTGGTGGTAGGTGTAGTAGGTGTGGTAGTAGGTGGTGGTAGGTGTAGGTAAATTCTAACAATAACCAAACTTGTTCAAACCTCTCACTTAATACCTCCAAAATATTCCTTTTGCAAATAGAAACATGTGGATAAAGTATAATACCCAGAAAATGGCTTCGTCTTCGTCTTCCCGTGGACTGCTCACCCTCTTTCCCGACCTCAACGAGTCAACAAGAGAGAGAACTGGTGCGGTGGCACTGGAACCTCAACCAAGCGCCCCGGAGTTTGCTCCGTTGAACTTTCCGATGCGGTCGGACTGCCTCCCGAGAAACCCAATGTTACAACAAACCCTTTCCCCACACATAACCAAGCTCCACCGCATAAAAGGATCAACTTCATCCAAATTGGGGTCGTGCCTTACGATCCTAGCATTTATATCCCACCTGCCTAAGCCGGAGGTATTCCTTCCCGACTGCA